AAGCAGTGACAGCACGATGGCTGTGTGGTCAGCAAGAGCCCAGAGCCCAAACAACCAGACATTTACAGGGGACTGTGGCCAGTGCTGATGGCATTTAAGATGACTGGAGTCTTAAAAATACAGTCTGCAGAGTCCTTCCATTGTCAAGCACTAGCTCACCCAGAAAGAGGGCTGGAGAAAGTACATCAGAGGTTTGAGCATTTTATTTCAAATATGACATCAACCTACTGCACATCTTTGAAAAATGCTGCTAACTGACACTAACAGCTTTAGATTGTGAAAGGATGAAAAGGTCTGTACAAGACAATGTTTGCTTCATTATCTTCTTCCATGTATTACCAGTATAATAGGAAATGCTGCAGTGGTAGCTGAGAAATGAAAAACAGGGCTTCAAAAAGGAACAGAAAAATAGAACAATCGTGGTGTCTTGGTGAGTTAGGGAGTGGAGTTAGGGACTGTGGACTGCATTTGGGGCTGCTCATACCACAGGGATTAAGGATGAGGGCTCTCCAGACAGGACCCAGCATGAATGGGGGTGAAACTTCAGATATATGCAGGCAATTATTGGCACAAATATACTACAGGCAAATAATTGGTTAGGAATTTTCAAAGTGGCCTAATGAATATATGCAGCCTTTTAAAGGGTTGATGTCCCCCAAAATATGCACAAGTTTAGTACTCATTCTCAAGAGACCCAGAGTCCTGGCAATGCTTTACAAAGGAATGTTTTTAGCCTACTGACAACATTATTTTGACAGAGTTCTGTCTAAAGTGATGGAGGCTCACACCTTAAATTTCATATTTCTCATTCACATGGCCACAGAGAAAGGAACATTTCAATAATTTTTGACAATTTTTCTGTGCTTCCATTACTTTGATATTATTTTCTAAATGACATTTTTAGAAAAAAGAAAAAGAACGCTGATAATCAATTGACAACTTTTGCCAGTGAAAATACATATTTTAGAGGTCTCAGGTTGTCCTTTTCTTGTTGATTTCAGAGCCAAAATGGGTTTATAGAAAGATCTTTATTTAAGGAAGCCCACAGGAACTGCAAAAGTTACATTAATTGTTCTTTTCTAAGATCTGATGATAAGTAAACAGTTCTAGGGTAGTTAAATGGAGCATTGGAACAAACACTCTACAGAAACACAAGGTAACAGGTAGAATTTCTGCTTAGTCTTCTAAAGAATATTTCACATTGCTAAGCTTAAAGCCCTAAGGTTATCAGAGCCTCTTACAAAACAGAACTGATGTAACATATTCTCTATTGAAAACAAAGGGAGATCAAAGCAGGATGAGATTACAGCAGTGTGATTTGTATTTCAGTTCCATGAATATATTTGTGTGTATGTACATTTGCTCCTGTGCGTCCATAGTAACCACAGCCATAACCCAGAAAGTATGGTGTGGGGAGCTTTGCTCTGAAAATCAAGTAGACCATTAGGAGGCATAAATATTAATAGAGCTGTCTAATCCTACACTCTCAAATGAGGTAGTTCAGATCATGAGTCTTCGCATTTAAAATTTATTCACTGCCCTGACTAGAATAAGAAACAGAATCCACATGTGGGGAAGTCACTGATATTGGGCGGTCTCTGAGCCACTGATAATTCCTAAACATAAAAGTAAGGATCAAGTGATTTCTTTACTTATTCTACACCTAAATCTCCTACAAATACTAATTTATCCAAAACTGCACCTGCCTGGCTCTGTGACATTGAGGATATACCACCTACACCTCCACATTTTCACACTGAGGCATCTTCAGGCAGTATGAAATCTTTATACAGGTTCCTAAGAAAGAACATAATGTCATCCCAAGTGCAGAGCACACAACACCTGGGGGTTCATTTAGTGGTCATATAAGTGATCCTTCCCAAATTTTCTTTGTGTAGTTGTCATTAAATTAGGAAATTTCTCCAGCTGCAATGCAAAGACATGAATGCAGAGTGTTCAAACACCACAGGTATGCAGTTAAAGCAGGAAGCACTTGTCCTTCTAAGAGATAAGGAAACATTCTGGATCACAAGTGAAATATTTGTGTCTTGACTATAAGGTAAATTAGAGATCTGAAATGCCAAACAGTAGAATACTATTCAGGTAATCCCTAGAAATTATACAAAGCTTTATCGGGAAATTCAGGAAATGCCAGATAATATAATTAATATCAATCAGCAAAATGGTATATACCACATACCTACAATATAACCAAGGTCCATTAAAATTTAGAGTTTTGAAAACTAGATTCAAAAAAACAAAACAAAATTACTCAAATGCCTTTGCAGTGATTTTCCAAACCCAGCACTTGCAAACAAATTTCTGCATACCCAAAACAGAATTAGCAGCCTCTGACCTTGATGTACCTGGAAGAAAAGACACAAAACCAGATGCTCTTTCTTTATTTTTGAATCAGTAAATTGAAGGTCAAGTAACTGAAATACAGGCCTCTATGTTTAGCAAAAAACATGCTGAATTGTCTCATTTTTTTTCACCCAGCTTCAACCTGTCATTCTGTAGTCTCTGCTGTGGGCACATCCAAATCCCAACAGGAGGTCATGGATATAATGCTCATTACAATCCATGACTCATGGACAGATCTCCTTTAATTTCTACATCTATCTTAATCAGATTGCTCCCTGTTCTTCAAACTTGTTCTTCAAATTTGGTCATGTTCCTCAGCTGACAATTAAGTATAAATACTAATTTATTTATCTACTTCAATCTATTTTGTGTAGTGAGAAGGAATCAAACCATATGTAATGGAAATATATGGTTGCTGATTCAGTCATTTTGATCTTATATATCCTTTATGAATTAAAAAGATGATGTAAAAGTCTTCCTCTGATTTTCAGATTTTCTCCTTCCAATAATTTTCATCGCTAACTGTGATGCAATGACTGCAACCTAAAAATCCAGCAAAAGAGAGAACGTTGGGCCTTTCTTCTTTCTGACACAAAACTGATGCCTTTCCGAGCTGTGGTTGCTGCTCTGTTGCTGTGACTCTACTGCAACTTTGTCCTGCAGCTCAACTCCTTTTGCCCCTGGCTGTGGGGGCAATCCCAGCCCAGGATAAACACGGGGAAGTTCTCAGAGAGCAGAGATTACTTCAGGTATCTCAGCTGCCCAGCTGAAGGTATTCAGCACTTGTCAACAGCAAAAGGTAGGCTTTTTATTGTGCTGTGTGTGAGATGAGTCTAAGTGGAAAGGTACCTACTGAATTTCAAATAACTCTCTTTATTCTCCTCCAGGCCTATAGGACAATAAGCATGACTTTCTCAGCTACTGGGCTCTTCCTCCCTTGACTTTTGCTATTTTTCTGATTTTTTTATTATTTTTCTTTTAATTCTCTCTCATATGAAAGATGCTCTCTGAGAACAATGATGGGGATCTGCATCTTTATTTATGACTTTGTGAATCAGCGTCTGGGTGATAGGAAGTGAAAGTTGCTCAGCTAATTACACACGCTTGATGAACTGCGTAATAACTGCTGCAGCACTGCACATTAATTGAATGCATATAAATGACAGCAGTTATTCCAACTTGAATGATGTGTGAAGAAGTGACGTTGCTCACAGTACCCTGATTATCTTCATTTCCAGCTTTGGGAATCCAGCTTAAACAATTGTACTTTTACAGCACTGAGAAAAAATTCCCTAACGGAAAACAGAAGATGTCTCAAAGCCTGACACTTTAAACACAAATTGCTTTAAGTCACTGAAAGTGATTTAGACATCTAAAGAAAGCATACATCGAGCAACTACAATTAACAATTAATAATTAACAACTAGCTGCAACCAGCAGTTAGGAGCTGTAAGAGCTAAAGCCTTGGGAACAAGGCCACCTTCATTTTGAGCCTAGATACTACCTTAAAAAACTAATGCAGTGTTCAAAGAGTTCAGTTTTTCCCAGCTCCAAACATTTCTGCTATGCACTTTCCTAAAACGTATTTGTTTTGGAATAACAGGATAAAAAAATATGGATTACAGCTAAAAGGCAACTGTGCATGCCCACAGTACTCTTTGTTTACCCCAAAAAGCATTCTAATTCACATGCAGTCCGGCTCTAAGGTAACACATTATTTAAATAAAACAATGAAGAAAAAACATTTGATGCAAAACAAACGTGCATAGTACAAAATTAGTACTTCAAAACTAGCACCAAATGCCTCCTTTGAATCAGCACCAAAATAGACCTTCTCTGTTGCATGTCAACTGCTTGAGGAATTTGCAAATATTCACAAAGAAATCTGCAAAGTCTTCCATACTATTTAACACAGAAAGGGGAGAAGCCAAGTTTCCAAAGCTTCCAAAAGCAGTCTAGTTCCCAAAGTACCATGTCACAATATTTTAACAGTTCCCTACACCCGTATTAAGAGTTTGTGGGCTTGACAAAGAGAGCTGTAATCACAGAATAAAGGAAATCAACGCTCACTTTTAGAAGCGCGTAAACAAAACAGCAAAAAAAAAAACCCGTTTCACATCTACACTTCAGGAAAGTGAACCCTGTTCCAAGGAAACAGGGAGGAAGCCAGTGCAGGTCTCAGCCCTGCACTGCTGTAATGCTTCCCAGCCCTTATGCCATCGTTGTGGGAGGGAGAGCTGTGGGCTGTGCCACCCCTCCAGTGGGAGCAGCGCCCATCCCGGGGCACAGAGCTCCCTCTGCACCCACACACCACGTCCTGTCCCCTGGTGCCACCAACACACACTGCCCAGAACCTCCAGGCCAAGAGAGAAGCTGCCAACACTGCCCCTGGAGAGAGTGCCAGAGAGAGATGATCAGGTGCAACTGAGTCCCGGCTTTACAAAAGTTATCTTCTCATCTACTCTCTTTAAACACCTCTCCACCAGCACAAGACAGTCCCTAACACTTCACAGCACCAGCAATCGGCCTCTTTCACCTGTTTTATTCGCTCTCCTTTTGCAAGGTTTCCATCTCTCCCCCGTTTGGTATTTTTTACTTTTTGGTTTGGTTTGGTTTTTTGACCACTTTATACATACCTCCTTTTCTACAAATTTTCTTGCCGGGTTTTCTGGCACATTCCTTGGATATTCTTTTGACTGAAAAATGAATAGAAGACTAGAAAATAACATGGAGCTCCATCACAGACAGTAGGAGCATGCAACACCACTATCTAACTTAAATATGACCTGCTTTATTAGGTGCGGAAGATTCTCAACTTGTTGTGCCTGCACATGCAATGGAAAAGATGTTGATGCATCTTCCCAGAAGTCAGTGGGTGGCAATGAGAATTAGGCACCAACTTTGACCTAAAAATTACACGTGCTGTGGGAGAAAAGAAATGAGCGTAGACAGAAAAAGAGAAAATCAAAATCAAAAATCAAAAAAGCAAGGACAAATGCACACAGAGAAAAGCGGCATGCGCACATGTAATAAGCCGGCGTGCAAACAGAGAAAGCCATGCGTGCTACCAGTACACGTGAATTAATATTGTTAGAAAGTAGAACAGGAAAATAAAAAGATCTCCCTGTTTCGTCTGCTATTAACTCACCATCCTCGGTGGGGACATAGATATTTAAATAGAGGCAGTCTTCATTCTGGTCCTGTACATAGGTTGAAACTACATCCAAGTTATTAGTAAACCACACGGGAAGCATGACTTCAGGCAACCTGCCTTCTATAATGTTCTGGGGGCACACTGGAGCAAACTGGGTGGTGTTTTTGATATCTGCCCAGGGAGATGGAGGCTCAGGAGGTTGAAAGCGGCGCTCCCCTGTTGGAGGGGCGGCGTACGGAACCCCGAGAAACTGAATAACGGGCCCCAAAATTTCATTGTTAAGTTCCTTCTTAATCCCTCTTATCTTGCCAAAGTTGGTGGTCACGACTGGGTTGGTATCATCCAATTTTTGGGAGGACACGGCTGCAGCGTGAAGCAAAAATCCAAGCATAGAAAAAGCGAAAGTGGCGTTCGATCCCGTGTGCAGCAGGCGGGCCACCGTCGCTCTCCAAACACAGTTCAGCCACACGGATCTTGGAAAGGCCATGGTCCCACATCAGTTGTGTATCTACAGTGAAGCAATCTGATTTGTATCCACTGGTGTAAAAACAGGGCGACCGGAGGAAACAGATCAAGTTTCCTAAATAGGCGCCTGTCAGAAAAATCTCAAAAGGCTTTTCATGCGGTAAGTATCTTCCATTGATTTCACACTTATTGAAGCTGCATCTTCACTCAGCACTATTTATCAGACTACATCCTATTGACAATTCTGTTTTCCATAGCAGCAATATGAAGAGAGCAGCCATTTACTGCAGAATCCCCTCTTATAAATCAAATCCAGTTAGCCGCAGGTCTATATCCTGGAGAAAATGAAAATAAATCATTAGTATGAAAGAGCTAATATGAGCAGAGTGATAACTAGGTGTTTAACACGTTATTTACATACATTAATATTTGCTAGAGCCATGTAAGTTAAACTGCAGGAGTTTATGGGTCCATGAAATGGCAGGTGAAACACTGATTACTGGAATTATCTGTAATGTCACCTGTTGAATTTATAGAGACTTCTCAGGAGAAACAGGACTCACAGAAAATACAATTTTTTAAATTCACTTTTTCAAGAATAAGCTATTTACTGCCGAGCTACATTACATAAGTGTTTATGTTAATATTTTATTTAACTTAATCACCGCATAATCAATTTTCACCTTGTTTGCAGAAGTTGATTTATTAGAAAGGAAGTAATTATTTCTTAAAGCAGAAGATGAGGAAATTAAGATAGACAAGCATACTGAAGATCCAAATGCATTTAATTTCATTAAAAGCAGTTTACAACACATACAAACATTTTTTTTGTTCGTTTTAAAATATAACATGAATTACTGAGCTTACTCACAATAACTTGAATTACCATGCTTTATGTGGTTTTCTGATAGCTGATGAAAAACACAGACTGAAATGTTCACATCAGTGAAGGACCAAAGTCTGCTTCTGCTGAGGTGAATGGTAAACTCTGAATTTTCACAGAGGTACAACTGGACCTCTGTAGGCCACTGGGGTTTTTTTCAGAACTGGTTTGGAAAAGGACATGAACAGACAGCTCAGGGAGGGAGCTGTATATCACAATTTTTTGTGTCAGATCAATCCTGCATTCCTTATAAAAGATTGACTTCAGCGAAAAATGAAAATGCGTGTTGAGAGCACTCAATTCCTACCATCCTTAATTTATAACATAAACAATAAGCATTCCCACAGGACCGGAGAAATCTTATCTTTCATATATCCACATGCTGACTGAACAATATCCTAGAAAAAATAATCAGTTAGGATCAGAGACTGTATAATCTGAAATTCCAGATGCTATTTTCAACTACTTTAGCTCAGAGGTTGTCACACAAGGCTGTGTTCCAGCACTTCTGAAAATTGCTCAGTGCATATCGTTATATCTTCCATATTCATGTGAAACATATTTCCAACACGACTTACAATATCCCATTATTTAACATGCAGTGTTATACACAACATAGCAGTGTAATCTTACACTCCCTATTAAGCAGTGTGTAATGCACAAGAAATGTGTTTTGCATTGTATAGGAAACATTTTAAACCACCTGCTTTTGAAACAGCATTGGCAGCTTTAATGAGAATTGCTTTTTTTATCATGTCTATACACATTGTGGAGAGAATTCAAAAGAACGGCTTGTCTAATAGTCAGACTACCCTGTAGTTTGGGTTATTAAAAAGGAGATTGTAAAAGCTATATAGGACAGCAGGAGATTTGGTTCATGTCTAGTGTTCCTTTAGCTCTGAACAATCTATCTCAGGAGGCAATAAGGAGATAGATGAAGCTTTTCTGCAATTTTCTCTTTCCCTTTCTTTCTCTGCTAATTCTAACACCTTCACTGTGAAACTGCAACAAACAGGCTTATGTCCTTCATTCTCCAGCTGCATATTCTCCGTATTCACTGGAAATTCACCAATTTAGCTGCAGAAAATAATTCCCCAAACTTGATGTATGTGTTTACATTTACTTTAACACACTTACATGGAATGGCAGACATCCCCCTTATGGAGGATTGCTGCTTTGTAGCATTTCAGATTTTGGAGGGAGCAGAGTACTGCTTGAGAAATAGTAAAGATTATTTCTGTTTTTTAGTGGGCAGACAGGTTCCTGAGCAATGCACATAAAGAGATGGAAGCCTGCTCCTTAGTGGCATTCAAAATCCTCCACAGCCTTTTCCACTGGGTCTTAAAACCCACAAGGATTTGTTTTCCTCTCAGGAATGGAAACATATACTTCCTCTTCTTTCTCAAACTCAAACTTGTAAATAGCAGGAGTTCAAACTCAGAAGCTTTCCAGCTAATTTACATGGTCTGGGGAAGGTCTGAGTTCAACAAATCCAACATAGCTGCGCCAAGGAAAAGCATCCTTCTTCATTTCAAGGTGCTAGGTTGGTTTGATGTGCAAAATTACCAAGATGCCATTAATAATTTATTTAGCACCTGTTTTCAGTTCTAAAGAAACTTTGTAATACAATTTTTATACCTCAAATGGTAAATTCAATGTAGACTCAAAGCCAGTTCTAGAGCTGGGCTGTAATTCCAAGCTTGTCCATCTGCTGGTTTGTCTTTGCAGTTGAACAGTTCTGTTTCTGTGATCTCCAGTTCTGGTTTGCCTCCCATGGACAAGGCTTTACTCTGAGACAGGATGCCAAAAAAGGTAAGAATATCATTCAGTTCTGTCTTTGCTATTCCTAATTAATTAACTACTGGGCAGCAGCCTCAATGAATAGATGGGTAGGCTATAAAGGGCAGCAAATTGTCAAGTGCTTGCAGGATTTGAATCAACATATTTTCATTGTATTTATAACTTGAATTTTGGACTTGCTCTTTTCAAGCCTCTCTTTTTAAATGTCTAAGTAACAGTTTATTTTTTGAGACTGAGAGGTCAGACATTCAAGCCTGTCATTGGCTGCCCTGAAGCTATCACATCAAAACCACAAACTCAACGCAAATAAAAAGACTGAGATTTATGAAATCTTTTGAGACTTTCACAAGAAAATTTCATTTTGAGCACTAGGTGCAAGGGCAAGCAGGGAAGCTGGCCAGGGAAACACACTGAGAGTTAATGCTGGAAAAAATTCTCCCCAGTCTTTCTGCAGATGATCTACATTGGACTTTCCCTTGGTTTCTGGATTCAGCTGCAGAGGAATCAGTGGGAAAATAAAGGAGAGGGAATAAACAGGAATGATCAGGGAGACAAGCAGGTGAATAAACCAAAGAGAAGCACTGATAAATCTGGGACAAGGTTTAGCATCAAAATAATGTGGATATGAGGAGAAGGAGGAGAAACCTTCTCAGATTTTACTGCTGTCTTGATTTGAGGATCACAATTGCTCCCCGTGGTAACACAAATGAATTCTACTGTAAAAGGTATTTGATAAAGTCTTTCATGCTCTTTCGAACAGTCTATACTATACAGAGGTTTTTTTCTATCATCTATTATTTTATTATCTTCCTTTCTGAATTCAAATTACTTTATAGCTCAGATTCTGAAATGCTTTAGAGAAGCATTTAGTATGCTGGGGAGTGAACAATCCAGGAGAGCTTCGGCGCATCTTTGCATTTCCAATGACACAGGGCATCCCTCAACAGGTCACATCTGCTGCAAACTGCAGCAGCGAAACTCCTCGTTGTTACTCATGCCCAGACCTTCAAATCTTAAGGGATGGTTTGATCTGTAGCACCTATCAATAGCTCCAATGCATTAATAAAACCTTTGCTGGCACCCAAGGTTTCTGGCCATACGCCAGCTTTAGCACATGTAAAAGCTGTTATTGTTACAATAAAGACCTCCCAGCCCCCCCAAAAAAGCTGTTTTCATTTCAGCTGAAGGTATATTCTGTGATTTGATATTCCTGCTTAAAAATTCCTTTCCACTCCAACTTTGCTAGTAAATCCCAGTTGCACAAATATTCAAAGAGATTGGAACACCACACAACGCCACTTCATTTCAAAACACAAAGTGCTGTTTTGCAGAACCAGCTACATTTGCATCCATTTTTACTTACAGCAGTCTCTCCTTAGAGTTAAGAGCCCAGAGATGTTTCATGTCTCTAAGAAGAAATCTGTGTTCTAAAACACTCTACGAAGCCAAGCAGGAACATGGATAGTGGTACACAGGCCATTAGAGGAAAGATGAGGGTGAACACTGTGTCGGTGTGACACACCAATTGTAAACATGACCAGACAAATCCTCAAGAGATGCAGCACAAAATTCCCCCTCTCTTCTTTCGTGTTTCAAGTTAACAAAAGAAGCAAGTTCCAAGCACACTGTATTTTTTCTCAACTTAGTGGTAAAAAAAGGCCAGGTTGATGGAACTCTGAGCAGCCTGGAGGGAAAGGTGTCCCTACCAAAACCTAAATGACCTTTAGAGGCCCCTTCCAACCCAATCCATTCTGTGGAATATTTTAAAACTGACACTGCTCTTGCATACTTCCCAAAATACTTTCTCAAAGGGATGGGCTTTGCATGGGTTTAGTCCAAGAAATTAACATTCATTTAAAAAACAAGGTGTATAAATGATAGTGGAGGAGACTGCAATCCTGAATACATAAAACACATAACAGTGGTACAGCCCTGGTGGGGTTTGGTCACATCCCCCATGCCAGCACCCCCTCCAACTCATTGCAGCCACAGGTCTGGTAGCTCCAGAAAGCTGCTACAAATCCAGCCCTATTGAGATGCAGAACCTTTGCCAAGATGACCAACAAAGGTATGAATAAGACATCATCTTTATGGGCTCACAGTCCCACCCCGTATTAGGATGAGATTATAAGTGTTATGTTACATGGAGCACAAACAACCCAGTGGAAAGGATTTCCAGATGCTACAAGCTGTGTAAATATATCACTCCCAGATCAGAGAAACATTCCTGAGTGCCCTCACCTCAATTTAATATGGTGTTTTGACTGCTAAACCTCATAACCAGTTAGTGAAAAACACAATATTTAAATACTGTAGTATAAATCATCGGATGCAGCACT